ATAACAGTTTAAAAAATCATAAAAATATGAATATAGGAAAAGAAACGTCTTTATAATAAACGCTTTTAAATACTCACTTATAATACTTTTTTAATTACATTTGAGCTGTTCTCTTTTTACATGATAGTGTACTCTTTTCTCTTTACTGATTAAATATTAGAAAAGAAAAAATCTACGGAAGAAGATAACGTTTATGCAAAGATTAAAATTTAAAAAAAAAACAGTAAACAGACTGTACGCATTTTTTTTATAAATTGTAGTAGACAAATCATTTTGTTACCATGCAACAAAGACAATGAAGACACAAATGCACTTCAAAGCCTTAGGCAAGGATAGTAATAGCGTTTCCTTTATTTTAATTCTTTTAACTAATATCTTAAGTAGGTCATAGCTCAGTTTTGAATTGCAACGAAAACACAGAGACTATATGACAATATAATGTACGTTGGGGTAAAACATTTCAGGTACCCTATAAAGGTACTAAAGGGTTAATACTTGGTTTTAAAGGAGTGTCGTGAGATCATCTCTATATAATGACTATAAAATGGACATTTGCAAAGAGAACAATTATTAAGAGAAGAAATAGTTTATCTCGGTTACTTACACATTTACAGTTTCTCGATACTTGAAATTATTACAAATATAATAATTTTGTGTCCACATAATAAAAGCAAAGAAAAAAGGTAATCATAAGAACATAAAAAAGTTTGAACTAATGACATTCTAGAAAATTTGCTTCAAACGAAGAACATATCTACGTGAAGTACTTAAGTCCAGCAAATAATATACTGATGTAATTTTCTAAATTAAAATGTTACGGTTACTTTTCTTGTCCGATGCGACAATCAATATCACCCATAGTTTTAAAACGAGAGTGTGCGTCATGAAGTAAATTTCTATTCGTATGTTGTGTGCAATTAATTTTAGCTACCTATTAAAATATTTGAATGTGTTCTTCATCAAATGGAGGGAATGTTCACGTATTTCACTGAAATATTATATGCCAATAAACACGTTTTTCGTTGTTGGTGTTTTTCAAATTTCCATTATTTGTAACACGGCAAATATGCTACGATTGGTGCCTTGGTCAAAGTTGAAATTGCATACCTATCATATAATGAAGAACCAATTATTTCTGTCTCTGTTTCTGAAAAAAAAATCATATTTTAGAATAATAAGTTCTTTTAAATATTGAAAAGCAGTAATTCGCACAATATATAAAAATGTACTCCTAACATGTCGTAGACATGCGTGTTATCGAAACAGTATAATATTGATGGTCGCGTGTTACAAGAAAAATAAATAGATTATTTATTTAACAATTTCTTTTTAAACAATACCACTTTTCAATACATTTTTTGGTTAATATGACCAAAGGTAGTACAAATTTTTGCAAAACACGCGACAATATAAACCCGTTAGCCCATTGTACTCAACAGGTTAAGCTACATTTTCTCTTTTACAGCGTAAACAGATAAAGCTAGAAAGAAAACAGAAACAGGAACATTTATGTTTTAAACAGGGGTTGCATTCGCCAATCTTTCGTCGTTTAAGGTATGCTTTACATCGAAGTTCTTAATTCGAGCGCTCTGGCTGCCTTTTATTGAGCTCATTGTACGATTTTAGTCACGTGATCCATCCGAAATAGTGCTGCAGACCTAGTTTGAATGAGTCTGTTTATGGTCGATACTGGTATTTGCACGCTACCGTTCACGCCATCTAGCACCCCTAGCACAAGTCAAAGTTATTGTACAACAAAATGGTAAAGTGACTGAAGCAATGGATCAATTGCCAGTATTCTAAAATCAGTATTCTTACGAATCTGACAGGATTCGAAAAAGACTTGTCATTTTACTACGGTAATTGACAGATTCTGATTGATTGAATCTACGAAAGAAATACCGCCACACATACAGTTTACTATTCAGCATACAATAACTTATTGTAAATTTTCTCTCTTTTTTTCCAGATGTTATCAAGTTGATCTTGCATTACCATATCGAAAAAAGTAGCACATATTGTCAGAAAGGTTATCGTTTTGTGTATGCATCTCAAATTGTATAAAATGATAGATTTATATTTTGTTTTACAGTTTATTATCATAAATGCAGGATATATGACAAAACATACAGGTTACTTTTTCAAAGCGGCATAGCAACTTATAACAGTAGAAACAAAAATCTAACCAAAGATATAGTTACGAAATTGCTTTTATTATTTACAAATTGTAAAATGTCGTGATATGTTTTTAATGGTATACTTTGTATTACTTAAGAAAACTATTTAATTGAATCTATTTAGCTTCTTAACAAACAGAAAGGTTTTATCAACGTAAACAATATATTTCAAACATATATTTCTTTATTTTCTTCAGTTTTGAAGAGAACATATACAATACAGTTCTTACAAAAAGTACAGAAATCATTACATGAACATCAATGTATGACTGGCAAACATATGAATACACGTATAATTATATTAATGTAACAAATATATAATAAACACAGAATTGATGAATAATATACTTAAGATAAATAATTATTTAACATATATTAAACAATATATACTCATTAAAGAAAACGAAATTTTTGAAATATTGTATTCAGCAATATATCCTCTTTGAGTTTCTTTTTGTTCAGACGTATGAACAAATTTGCTTCAAAATAACAAACATAACAGTTGAAGTGATACAGTGTTCATACATGTGATCAAAAACCTGCAAATTTAAAGAAAGATATTTTTGTTCATACGTATGAACAAAAACGGCTGATTGTGGTGCTATTTTTTGCTCTGTGAGTTTGTTTTGTTCAGACGTATGAACAATTTGTTTCAAAATAACCACAAAATTACTGAAATAATGCAGTGGTCATACATATGAACCAAAACCTGCCATTTAGTGTAAAAAGTTTGGTTTTTGTGTTCATACATATGAACAAAATTGAAGTGCTAATTTATGTGCTATTTTCGCTCTGTTAGTTAAATTTGTTCATACGTATGAACAAAATCGAAGCAGTTCATTTATATGATATTTTTCACTCTGTGAATTTGTTTTGTTCATACGTATGAACAAAATTGAAGCTGTTGCTAATTTATGTGTTATTTTTTACTATCATATTGATAATAAACACTGCATAATTTCATAATTTTGTGGTTACTTTGAAAACATATTTTTGTTCATACGTCTGAACAAAACAATTGTTCAGACGTATGAACAAAAATATGTTTTCAAATAACCACAAAATTATGCAGTGTTTATTATCATATATGACTGTATGAAAAAACCCTCACAAATTTAAAAAGATATTTTGTTCATACGTATGAACAAAATCGAAACGGCTAATTTTTTGTCATTTATTTTTGCTCTGTGAGTTTGTTTTGTTCAGACGTATGAACAAAATTTGTTTCAAAATAACCACATAATTACTGATATAATGCAGTGTTCATACGTATGAACAAAATTGAAATGCTAATTACTTTAATGTGCTATTTTTGCTGTGTGAATTAGTTTTGTTCAGACGTATGAACAAAATTTGTTTCAAAAATAATCACAAAATTATGCCAGTGTTCATACGTATGAACAAAAATTTGCCAATTAAAAAAAATAGTTTTGTTCATACGTATGAACAAAATCGAAGTGGCTATTTTTTGCTCTGTGTCAGTTTTTGTTCAGACGTATGAACAAATTTGTTTCAAAATGTCCACAAAAGATTGTGATGCAATGCTCATACGTATGAACAAAAACCTTACAAGTTGAAAACAAAATTGTTCATACGTATGAACAACATTGAAGCGTCTGTCTAATGTATGTGCTATTTTTCTGTATGTGAGGTAATTTGTTCAGACGTATGAACAAAATTTTGTTAAAAAATGCTCAATATTGCTGAACTTATTCAGTGTTCATACGTATGAACAAAATCTTGACAACTTGAGAAAAAAATTTGTTCATACGTATGAACAAGTTTGAAACTGCTAATATATTTGTTACTTTTTACACTGTTCTTGTTTTTTGTTTAGACGTATGAACAAAAGTTGTTGAAAAGTTGTTGCCCAAAAAGCAGTATTTTTTAGTGTGTTTTTGAATATGAATATTTCACATTCGCAACCAGTGCATCGAGTATACACATTTGATGAAAGCTTTGAAATTATATACTCTAATCTCGTCGTTAAGATAAAAAGCTGTAAAACCACGAAACATTTCAATGATCTGCAGGTCAGGAGAAAGTGCAAGTTTCTATGCCCACAATTTTTAATAATGAAACCCATAAATAACTGAACCCTCTTTGAATCATTTAAGGGACAAAACAATTGAATACTTTTACAAATATCATTTGTCATCAGGTTACAGTTTTTGCAACTCATATCATATTTGATATTTCATATAGAAAAATTTCGCGTTGGAAATTCTGCCAGGTACCCACCAGTAATTGCACCATTGCGTTACTTTTTGCACGAATCGTGCGTAATTTTCACATTCCGGCGTTACTATATATACAAGATGTTTATTATGTAAGTGAAATGTTTACAAATATAACTTAAATCACTCATTGCATATTTCTTCAATGTGATTTTTTTCTCGCCTGAAATACGTATACTTTAAATTCAATTGAACATCTGTAAAATGCGAAAGACGTGCAATATGCTCAATGAAAATACGCCAATATGTTTCCAGAACAAAGGAAGGATATCATATGCTATTGTTTAACTATGATACAATGTTATCTTTCAATTGCGTAAAACTTTTCCACCGACGACAATGTATGTAGTAGAAGCAGCTTGAGATATATCTTCACAGCTTTAACTACAAGCTTTGAATGAAACAATGGGAAACCAAAGAAAACTATCTAACACAAACGGGACACATTCTATCCATTTGTAAACTTAATGAATACTTTTATGTTTAATATAATCACGTGTAAGTCAGTTTCACAGTTATATATGTCTCAGAACCATGCTAACCCGGTATTTTTATGAGGGCTGTCTATCATATCATATTGATAGATCTTACCTATCATGAAGCGGCACTGCTGTGAAAGGGAAGGACACTGTAACACTGTTTTTATTTAAATGAGTCTACGACATATTGTCATCATTGGATTATGCGTCTATCTTTGTAAGTATTTGTTTAAATTAAACTTGCGAATAAATTCGAATTAAAGTTGTATCACTTTATTATATTCGTAAAAACATAAATTACGCCAAAATGTTAAGAGATCTAGCTTTAATTCGTTAACAATTCTATTTTTTTTTTGTTAAAAAATCGTAATGTTGATATACATCTAGCTGTGTATACGCCTTAAAAATAAAATCATTTACATGGAATGCAAACACCAATACACAATATGTTTAGATGTATCTGGAGGTCTATCCCTTCATACACAATTTTTTTATTGCATTTTGCGCGAATTGGCAATAATCTACACTGTATGTCTGATGCAAAAAAACCCACAATGAGAAAAATGCAATGAGTGATTTAAGTTATATCTTACATGTTTACATAGTAAATGACAAAATAATATAAAGATGATAGTTTTTGTTTGTTTTTGTTTTTTTTTGTTTTTTGTTTTGGTATTATATTTAACACAGAGTGCACACTAGATATAATATTTGCACGAGTTGCTAGTGATATTTACACGAAGTACAGTGCACCATAACTCTTGTTTATCGCTTCAATGATATTTTTTATTGAGCTTCAGGTCTTTTTATAAACAAAAACCGTTTGCATGGTATGCAAATACACAATACATTAAGAAACATCTCGATGTGTGATTATTGATTATTATTCATACAAAAATAAAAAAAATTTCCAACGGTCTTGGTTGGAAATTAAAATTCGAATAAGTGCTGAAAACTGATACATTTTTTATACAATTCTTATTTTTCCTTTTTTTAATTTCATTGCAATTCAATAAAAACCGGAAACAATATACAGTTATTTTATATGTGATTTGGGAACATTGAAACCAGTCGGCCCGATGTGGAGGGGATAGTGTTTTGAACTGTTGCCCAAGGCCTCCACATAGGGCCGACAGGTTCACTGTTCCCAAATCACATATGAAATAACTGTATATTGTTTCCGGTTTTTCTTGAATTGCAATGATTCTGTATACTTATATTTAGCTGGTAATAAAAAAAGAGAAAAATCACATTGAGGAATAGAAAAGTGAATAATTTAAGTTATATCTTACTAACAAACAAATCACTAATAAGAATACAGTGATTTCTTTGGAATTATTACAAGAAAATGGAGACAATTTGATGTTGTTTTATGGCTGTTGTTTTAATAGTAAATATGATGACCAATCTTTTTGCGAAAGAAAATCTATAAATATATGGCAATATTTTAACTAAGATTTAGCTGTGTTGGCTTTGTGATTGTACCAAATTGTACTGAATATTTAGTGCTAGGGAGCACATAACATGCTAGAGTTTCCATCAATACATTCAACAAAACCGAGTCTGCTTTTTTGTAAGTTGTATAGATATATATGTTTTTGTTTGCATTGCTGTCGAGGGATCTCGTTTTTCCAGATTTGTTGAGCATGAATTTTGAGAAGGACGTGATACAAAGTACATGCTTTTGTTCCTCGATATAATACATGTGCAGTTGTTATTAATAACACGTGTATTATACCAATTTACATTTAGGCTGAGAAATTTCTTACCACATCAAATATTGACTCGTTATCAGAATTTCCTGACGGCTCAAACATTTTTTGTTGTTTTGTTTACCTTCTTCCTACGTAAGCTTCCGGTATGCATAAATTAAACATCGTGAAAATGTCTGATAATAGCAAGTGGGTATTCACTGCAATATCTGTTTTCTTAAATAGGCCCACAAAACTTTATGTGGTCAAAATGTTTTAACCAATTTGTATAAGCCTTCATGACCCAAAGAGGGATTTCATATTTTTTGCTCAGATGCGCAAGGTATATCTTTAATAGCAAGTATTAATCTTGATATTAACTTAATAAATTTTATTATTGTTCTGCGTTATTTTGCAGTCAAAAAGGTGTCGTCACTCGAAAAAGACTGGCCCAGACCTGTTGTGAGTTGTGAGAAATGCAAGAAGACCTTGACTCCTGGCTCACATGCTGAGGTAATTCCGTAGTCTATAGTTGTTATCATTCAATTACACACGTTGAACTTTAACATTCTGTCTCTGTACGGAACATTCATGTTCACACATTAACGTAAATCAGTCCGTATTTAGGTAAACTAACACAGTGTCCCTTTATACAGTGTTTTTAAAAAGAATATTGGAGAGTAATAATCACTTTAAATGAATACACATTACACGAATATTTAAACAAATTTTGAACATTTTAAAAAGAAGCTACACGACAATAAAGGACCACAAGTTATAGGTCGTGTATAAAATGTATGATTCTTGACAATTTATGATGTTTCTAAATTCAGATTGTATCTATTGGAATAACTCTATGCAACCTCAAATGTTTAATAACTGCGGACGTCATTTATGTAAGCATTTGATGTGTAATGCGTTTTTAAAAATAATTTTAGCATGAAGGAAAGCCGTATTGCAAAAGTTCATGCTATCCGGCACTGTTCGGGCCTGGAGGTAAGCATAGTATTCAATATCCATGAAAGTATTTATATATCTAATCTTATTTCTGTTCTTTTCGAAAAGAAAGTGGAGCAATTTTCTTGATCCCCTCGTCGGTGTTGGTGTCGGCGTTGCTTAAGCTGTTCGTGCAGGTCAATTGTCTCAGAAACTACAAAAGCTTTTCCCTTAAACATGATGTACATGTTAAATTCAATAAAACAACGCCATTTTAAAAGGACAGATGATCCTATATTTTGCAAAGTAATGCACCTATTTCTTTATTGCTTTTATTCAACTATCCAGCACTGAGAAAATGCAGACATGTTGACGGACCATAATTTCTAATTTGAAATGAAACAAGACAAAATAAATCAGATATTCATTTTGTGCTGTCAATTGTTACTCTTGACTTTATATCATATTATAACAATATAATCATAATTATATTTTGCCAGAATGTCACTACATTGTAAAATGCTAATGCTTGGACAAAACCGTGGCAATCTCATGACAAAAGCGCGCAGTGAATCATGATATATTAATGAAATAAGTCAACAGTTTTTTTAGCTCACCTGTCACAAAGTGACATGGTGTGCTTTTGTGATCGCTTTTCGTCAGTCGACCGTCCGTCGTCCGGCCGTAAAATTTTACTTTTAAATGACATCTCCTCATAAACCGCTCAGCCAATTTCATCCAAACACATGAATGTTCCTTTGCTTGTCACCTTTGAATATTTATCAAAGAATTTAATTACATGCAAAACTCTGGTTGCCATGGCAACCAAAAGAAAACAACTTAAAATGTCTTCTTTTAAGAAACGCAAGGGCTTAGATATTAAGCATGAAACATATTCTAATCAGTGTTTACCAAGTATGTTTAAATAAAAGCCCTGGAGTCAAAATTGGCCGCGCTCTGGGGTCAATGATATTCATAATATGAAAATATTTATTAAAAACTTTAAAACTCTTCTTGTAAAAGAACTCAAAGGGCTAGAACTTAGATATTAAGCATGAACCATCTTGCAATGGGTCTCTACCAAGTTTGTTCAAATGAAAGCCCTTGGAACAAATTTGACCCCGCCCAGGGGTCCATTGATTTTATTTATATGAACAAGTATACTTAAACTAAAAAATCTTCTTTTAAAAAAACCCAAAGAGGTAGAGCTTAGATATTAAGCATAAAACATCTTCTAATGAGTGTCATCCAAGTTTTTTCAAAAAAGCCCCGGGGTCAAATCTACCCCGCCCCGGGGGGAGGGCATTGATTTTTCTTATATATATATATATATATATAAATAAATAATTTAAAAACCTTAAAATATCTTCTTAAAAAAACAAAAAGCTAGAGCTTAGATATTAAGCATGAGACATCTTCTAATGAGTGTCTACCAAGTTTTTTCAAATAAAAGCACTGGTGTCAAATCAGCTCCGCCCCGGAGAAACATTGATTTTCATTATATGTGTATATATTAAAAACTTAAAAAACTTCTTTCAAAAACCAAGAGTCTACCAACTTTGTTCATATAAAAGCCATTGGGTCAAAATTGGCTCGGCGGGAGTCATTGATTTTGCTTTTATGCATATAATCTTTGAAAAAATCCCAAAGTATTCTGACTCAGATGAACGATTTAGGGCAATCATAGCCCTCTTGTTCTGTTAAATCATTAAGAAAAATATTTTAACTTAATATTATTTGATATGTAGACTAGACACATTGTTAGTTTCCCAATTTATTTTCTTTTTTATTTTACAAGCATCTTGTAGTATTGGAATAGGTTAAAACCTGAAGTTGTTTTCAACAAAGTTTCCATGCGTAGGAAGTAGCAATAAAAAGTCAAATTATTAGTAAACTTTCTTGGGGACATTTTTACTAAAATATTCGTATTTTTATATATGTATAAAACACTTTTACTAAACCCAACATTTTTCTTCTTTTAGGTTTTGGAAAAGGAGGAACCGAAAGCTATAGATTTGATACAAAATAAGCATAATCTAATCTTCAAGTTGAAAAAAGGTTTTAGCATAATTATTTATAACACATTACATCATATATATCTTCAATTTAAAAATATTGCTATCATTAAATCTACAAATGTCTGAAGTGCAATTATATAAATTGAAACTAACAGTCAATAAAATGTTTATTTGAAATATATATTTTTCTTTTATTCAAATAAAGATCCTAGTGTTCAGAATGGCGAATATTCAATCTTTGTTTTCTTATAACATACATATTAATTTCCCGTTCTTGTGCGGTGACCCATTGGGCACCGGTCATATGCCATTTATTTTTACTTCCTATGTGTGATTGGAATTGTTCCCCCATGCTGCCGGTTGAATAAATAAAATCTAATTAGTTTGGACACAAACATGTCTTTCCCCCATCAGCTTTTCCCTAAACGACCGAACAACCATTTAAAAATTTCAATTTAAAGCAAAAACCAGAGGGGGAAAAAATAATTGTAAGAATCGTTTATTAACAGATACCCTTTCTTTAAAGAAATTTTTTTAAAATTTATTTAAAAATGTTCCCTAAACCCTACCAGTTTTGGGTAAAAAGGTCCACCTTTTTAAAAATTTATAATTAGACCAAAATCCATTCGTAAGTCATGGATTTCAAATTAAAGGACATTTAAAATTTCTTTTGGGAAAATTTATTATTTGGATATTCTAACAACATATTGCTTGAAGAAAATTTTGAGAAATATGATACATGTATAAACATTTTCTTAACATAAATCTCTGACAGAAAATGCAATGGCATAGGACATTGCTGTTTGCTGGCGACTTAAAGTGTTTTTCAAGAGTTAAAAAATCACGAAATACAAAATCTTTACAGTTAAGAAGAAGACCTGAATATTTTAATATTTTGTGTGTGTATTTTGGTATCTGTATACTTTCATCTTTTATGTAGCAATTACCTGTTTGAAAATCGGGTCGTATTATAGTTTCCGCCCTGGTTGAGAGAGGTGACGATTGAGGCAGTGGCACTCACTTCATTTACTCCTTCTCTGTTGAAGTATAGCTCCGCTTTCCCTTGTCGCCATATTCAATATGATGCCATGTATTCTATCGTTTAGACTTCGTTGACAGAGGGTAGGGAACAAGAACAACTTAAATCAATATCACTTCAATACTGATTGATTATAATTACTTAAAGTCACATTTTAGTTATCGGGGAAATTATTTTGTTTGGTCAAACTATGTGTAACTTGTATTCTTATTAAATCCTTGTTCCTAGGCAATGCTTAGATATTCTTTTCTGAATGAGCTAAAATATCTTTACTGTAATGAGATTGTTTTTATTTCTTCTTCATATTTTGTTACAGAACTAGGTGAAATGGTACAAAAAAGAAAAACTGCAATTAGGACTGAAATAATGCATGTGTTCAATCAGAAAAAAAAATCATTTTAGATTTGATAACTTTTTGAAAATGTATTATGGTCATCTGTGAAAATATTGATAATTATTGCTACATAGTTTGTTATTAAAGGAAAAATTAACATGACTTGTACAACATTTTGAACACCTGGACTTTATACTCTGTCAAGTGTTTAACGATCTGTAAACAGTAAAATATGTTTACACGAAGTGCGTATTCAAGATGAGAAGTAATTATATCTATTTATTTGAATGATATATATATTGATTTAATACATAAATCAACATTTAAATTCAACTAAATCCCTTCACAGATTCAACCATCAAACATTTTGCAAGAAATATTATTTTTGTTATTTGACAGTAACCACCCTTAGTATATGAAATAAACTTTGAAATAAACAAACATAACAGGGGCAAAAATATCACAGATTTATGTCCATCAAGAACGTGTAGCAGAAATTCTCCTCAGTTATAACAATACATTTAGTTAGAACAAAAAGCAATTAATAGAAATAACTGGGTTTTTTCGTATTTACTGCAATCGACAAGAATCTAGTTCTCACACACATTGATCTCAATATATGACATATGAATTCATTGAAACATTTTATAACTCTCAACTTAATGTTTACATGAAACCAGTTACTACATTTACCGAATAACAGTAAGTCAATCAATTAATCAAAAAGGGAATTTTTCCAATCTACAATATGATATCAATGAACATTTAATAAATCGTGCTTTAGCAAAACCCTTTAATAGTTCATCCATTGCAAAATGTCAACATTAAATGATTTGATTATTCTCTTGTGAGAAAATTAATTTAACTGATTTATGATTTATAAATACTAATAATATGATAATCACAATTATTTATCTGTGAAAATATAAACTAATGTTTATTGCTATTTTTTGTTGATTGACATTTAATGGGGCATGCGAAAAAGAACGCATTAAAACGCATA